TACCCACATAGACAGTACATGTGCTGTACATGTACTTTGGGGACCCCTAAGATACCATCACAATCAGTTGGCGGATGTTTAGAAATGAAATTTGTTTCATTTTTATTTGATTTAGAAAATATATTTTACATGAAATAGAGATATTTCTCGTTAACAATAAGCAAATTTAACCCACAGTCGTCTTTTATTATTTTTTTTAAATACATGAAACCTAATGACAGGTCAAAAATACCAGTGTCTGTATTTTACCAATGCTTCAAAATTAACATACAAGTTCAGTGTTGGTGACTTGGTCTTACTTTCTAATTACTTTCTTACTTACGGAGTTATCTAGTGTTTTGGATAAGCATGCGCCATGAAAATCACGCATGGTTACCATACGCCACGCTGCTCCATGGTTTAGTGAGGAGATTAAACTGGAGAGAAGAGTTCGTCGCCGACCGGAAAGGAGATGGTGTAGGACTAGATTGCCCGAAGATCGTCTGCGTTTTATTGAACAAAATCGTATTGTCAATGAGCTATTACTCTCTGTCCGCTCACAATATTACACCAAGCTTATTGATGATAATTGCCTTAATCAGAGGAAACTGTTTGGCATTGTCGGTAAGTTGTTACATCGGAGTCCTGCACCGCAGTATCCATCTTGCTCTTCCGTGGCGGATCTTGCAAATAGATTCATTGGCTTCTTTGGTGAGAAGATTATTACTATTCGACATGAACTGGAATCGAACCTTATGCAGGGAACTTATTTATTTAATGAAGTCACAGTAGCAACAACTTGACTCCATCGTTTGAGCTGTCCTTCATATTCGACCTTACTTCAGATTGTGCACCCTCTCGCATCAAAGTCTTGTGAAATTGACCCTGTCCCCTCTAGATTACTCCTTGGTTGTCTTGATCTCCTTTGCCCTGTGATCTGGAAAATTGTTAAGCTGTCTTTGGAGACCTCTGTCATGCCCACTGAACTTAAACAAGCTGCAATTCGTCCTTTGTTGAAAAAGCCGAGTCTTGTTTATCAAGAATTTAAGAACTTTCGGCCAATCTCTAACCTCACTTTGTTGTCCAAAGTCATTGAGAAAGTAGTGGCTTTGCAGCTTGTTGACTACATTGACAAGAATGGTCTGTGTGAAGTCTTTCAATCTGCCTACCATGCTCACTATAGCACCGAAACGGCTCTTCTTAGAGTCTACAATGACATTGCTATGTCCATTGACAATCAAAAATCTGTTGTTTTGGTTCTACTGGACCTGTCTGCTGCTTTTGATACAGTTGATCATTCTCTTCTCCTTGCTAGACTATCTACCCGTTTTGGCATTTGTGACCAGGCACTGGACTGGTTTCGTTCATATCTATCTGATCGCACTCAGTATGTCAGAATCCAAGATATCTCTTCTGATGTGCATGCCTTACCTTATGGTGTACCTCAGGGTTCCGTGTTGGGCCCCTTGTTGTATTCTTTGTACACTTCCCCCTTAGGTGATATTGCAAGATCTCATGGTCTGTCATCACTTTTATACTGATGATACACAGCTATATTTATCTTTTGAAACGTCATCGCCTGAGGATTTGTCAACATGTCCATCTGCTCTTGAAGACTGCGTTAAAGATATTGACCTTTGGATGTTAAATAACAAGCTGAAGCTGAACAGTGGGAAAACTGAAATTATAGTTTTTTCATCCTCCTATCGCCCACGTCCTGCGTTAAAAAACGTGGTGATTGCCTCTGACACTGTTGACTGTTCAACTACTGCTAAAAATATCGGGATTACTTTCAATAACTCTCTATCGATGTTGCCGCACATTACTGCTGTTTGCAAGTCTTCGTTTTTTTATTTACGCAATATTTTTAGGATTCGCAAGTTTCTTTCTTACGATACATGTAAAACTCTAATTCATGCCTTTGTTACTGCAAGGATCGACTATTGTAACTCATTGCTCTACGGTCAGCCTAAATGTATCTTGAAACGTTTACAGTGTCCTAAATAGTGCTGCTAGGCTTATTCACCTTACTAGGAGATATGAGCATGTTACGCCGTTGCTTATTCAACTTCATTGGCTACCAATTGAACAAAGAATAACTTTCAAAATTGCAGTAATCACATTTAAGGCGCTTCATGGTGCTGCACCTAGCTATATCACTGATCTTATCAAGCCTTATACACCTGGTAGACTTCTTAGATCCTCCAATCAATTTTTACTTTCTACATCTAAATTTAATCTTAAAACTTAAGGTGGCCGGTCTTTTACTATTGCTGCACCTTCTGTTTGGAATGCACTTCCATTCGAACTTAGTTCTTGTAATTCCCTTTCTTCTTTTAAATCTAAGCTCAAGACTTGGCTTTTTAAAATTGGTTATGATGTTGTCGTATGGCATGATGATGTTTTTATAGGATGACAATATAGTTTTGTAGTTTTGTAACGCAATAAAGCGAAGAAAGTGAAAGATACAGTCCTGATCGTTTATTGAACTAGCGGACGTGGAGATATTCCAAACGCAGTGGAAGATTCCGCAACAACTGGTTCCTTCAAGCCAGATTAGAGAATGTCTAAAAAGAAAGTAAGAGCAGGCCATCATGGATTCCTCACGAAAATCATAGAAGAGGCTAACAAGCATTTACAGGACGGATATTTATCCGTTTGAAAGACAGAACTGCTGAAATGGAAGACTAGTTTAGGAGAACAGCTTCAAAAGATCGTGCTGCTTGATGAAGAGATTCTGGCCAAGTTAGCGGCAGACGAGAAAGTAACAGAGGAAGAAGTGGCAGACGAGATTGAACGGAGTGGCCGATTGAGGGCAGACGCGACAAACGTTCGCTGCCATCGAAGAACGACCGACAGAGCAACCTGCTCCACCACCAGCTTCACAATTGGCACCTCAATACATAAATTCAAGCCAACGTTACCAGCTGATAAGTAGCCAACAAAAGAAAGTACAAGCAAAGCTTCCGAAATTAGAAGTAAAAAAGTTTAACTGAAAACTCTGCGAGTGGCAGGAGTTTTGGGACTCGTTTGAGAGTGCCATACATATGAACGATGGGTTTCAAACGTAGACAAATTTTCCTATCTAAGGAGCTTGCTTTTGGGGTCGGCAAAATCGGCAGTTGGAGGATTTGCGCTGACATCTGCGAATTACGAGTCAGCTATAGAGCTCTTAAAGAAACGTCATGGGAAAAAGGTCACGATTCAGAGGGCACTAATAAGCAAACTGTTGACTGCACGTCCCGTGTTCAATGAGAGTGACATGCCAAGATTTCGCAGCCTTTACGATTTCACAGAAATGAAGTACTGAGCGTTACAGGCCTTAGCAGTGGAACAAAGCTACTCAGAAGTTGTCATGCCAACACTTTTAGAAAAGATTCCCGATGCCATCCGATTGACGATTACACGAGGAAGAAAGTACCTGGAGTTGACATTAAGAGACACGTTGGAGGCACTCCTACTGGAAGTGGAACTGAGAGAGGACCAATTGTCTGGCACAGCACAGATCAAGCGAGGCGAAAAAGGGTCCTGTCACCTCCAGTGCGCTGTTCACCAGAAAGGGGGACCAAAGATGCGCATTCTGCCTGGAGAATCACCTACCAGAAAATGGTAAGAAAGTCATGAAGACGGAGGAAAGAAAGAAACTGTTAATTAAGTTTGGTAGATGTTTTAAGTGTATTAACAAGGGCCATTACACCCGAGATTGAAAGGCTTCTGTTCAATGTAAGAATTGTAAGGGATCTCACAACACGTGTTTGTGTGACTAGGGATCACAGCAAACCCCAGTTAATGATACTAGTCAATCACTAGTAAATAGTCCGAGTAGTTTGCTTGTGGGAACAGAGAGTAGAATTGCCCTTCAGACTGCCCAAGCCTTAATTAAGGGCAATGTACCAGGGAGGGTAAGAGTTCTATTTGACTCAGGAAGTCTCAAGTCTTTGGTAACAACAAAGGCCGCAAGGAATTATGGCTTAGAAATTGTAAGAAAAGAATGGGTATTAACACATTTGGACAAACAGTTAAGGAATCGGGTTTGACAGAAGTCGTCCAGTTTGATGTAATGCCCCTACAGGCTGACCGTTCACTTAGGCTTGAAGCTTATGTTGTGCCAGAAATATCTCACATAACCAACGAACACGCAGAGGTCGTCAAGAACGATTATCCTCATCTGCGTGATCTGTGGTTTTCAGATGTTTGCCAAACTAAGGAAGAGCTCGAAATAGATTTGTTGATACGATCGGATTACTTGTAGGAGTTTCAAAAGGGGCTGACAATACGGGTACACAAATTGTTTGATAGCGATATCAGTTTCATTGATGGAAGGCACTCAGTCAAGTTGCCTTGGAAACAGAGTCACAACCCCCTTCCCAGTAATTATGCAAACAGTTTGTCATGCATGAAGAGCCAAATCAAAAGATTGAAAGGGGAACTGGAAGTACTAGAAGAGTATGACTCGATCATTAAAGACCAGAAAGAAATGAAAGAGTAATGGATTTGGAAGGGGCGTGCAAGGTCCATTATTTACCACATCAAACAGTCATTCGCAAAGATGCAGAGACGACAAAATTAAGGATAGTGTATGACGCTTCAGCGAAAGAGGTTAAAAATGGGACCTCCCTGAACGACTGTCTACACACAGGGCCATCTCTAAACCCCTTGCTTTTTGAAATACTTGTTAGGTCCAGAGAAAATAGGGTCGCGCTTGTCGGAGACATCGAGACGGCATTCTTAAATATAGCAGTAGGTGTGAATAACTGCGATTGTTTGAGGTTTCTGTGGGTGGATGATGCACGAGACA